GCACCAGGCGGACCCCATTTTTAGGCCTTAGTAAGGTAGATAGGTTAGGATATCCTGGACAAATATTCGTATTCATATGATCTAATTTTTAGAGGCCATGAGCTAAGGGGCACGAATATCCCCCGATATTCTAAATAAATTGAATTTAAAATTGAATTAAACATGAATTAAGGAAAGATCCTGGACTTCACCTTACCAAACAGACAAAGAAAATGTGATAATAATTATGGGCAAGGTAGATTATACTGGAAAAATTAACATGTTATTAGAAGACGGAGGGACTTACGTGGCTCCTATTAATCTCACAGTAGATCCGTCCCTGGTAAGGATAGGTAGGTGCTATATGATGGGCTAGAATATGTGAGAATATCTCTCTGACAAAATATATTCGTTATTATCTATTTATGATCTAACTGAGAAATATAGTAGTCTAGGAAATTGGAAATATATCAGAATTAAATGACTAATGAGGAATTTGAGTTATATAATGAATTACAACAGTGATGTTTGGGTCACCATACAGAGGAATGTGGATAAATGGTCCAGAAAACCGACAAGTTGATAAACTAGACACATGTGCAACGCTTGGGTATCTTTATCGAGGAAACGTTTCGCCACACAGTGACTTCATCAGTCCTATACAAAGAAGAATGGTGATCAGAAGGAGTTTGAGGTAATTAGTCCCTCAGCCTGGAGTCGATGTAATCAACTGAGGGACTGATTACCTCAACCTCCTGATCTTCACCATTCCTCTTTGTATTGGACTGATGAAGTCACTGTGTGGCGAAACGTTTCCTTAATAAAGATACCCAAGTGTTCCCCATGTGTCTAATTTATCAGCATAGAGAGAGAAACACAGGTGAACATGTGAAAGTAAATAACAGGAAATAACAGTGAACATATGGAGAACATAAAGTAACAGTGGTGAACGCTGGATGTGGGGGGGGGGACCTACCCCGTGTTCCTGTAGGTGGAGCCGATGTCCGATTCCTGACAGCATCAGTAGCTTGGGCGACGACAGCGCTCCTGCTGATAGCAGCACTTCCCTCCGTGCTGACACCTTCTTCACCTGCGGTGGATGAAATACAACTGTGTAAGCACACAGACAAAACACACACAGAGGCAGGATCCATACATAGCTTTAAGAAGAGGTATGATAAAGCTCCTGGAGCAGGGAGAGAGTTGACCTTGTAGCAACCAGTGAAGAGGCAGGGCCAGGAACTGTGACTCGACATCTGTAACCACAATTAGGTGATTACACACACACACACACACACACACACACACACACACACACACACACACACACACACACACACGCACACACACACACACAGTGTGTGTAGAGGAGGCAGGAACCATACATAGCTTTAAGACGAGGTATGATAAAGCTAATGGAGCAGGGAGAGAGAGGACCTAGTAGCGTTCAGTGAAGGGGCGGGGCCAGGAATTGAGTCTCGACCCCTGCAACCACAATTAGGTGAGTACACACAATATGAATGGAGATGCACAGGCAAGATAACAGACAAGATAACAGAGAAGTTGCTAAAGATATGACAGGCAGCCACAGACAACTTTACTGGAAGCCACAGACATATCTCTGCTGGAAGCCACAGACATATCTCTGCTGGAAGCCACAGACATATCTCTGCTGGAAGCCACAGACATATCTCTGCTGGAAGCCACAAATATATCTCTGCTGGAAGCCACAGACATATCTCTGCTGGAAGGCACAGACATAACTCTGTTGGAAGCCACAGACATAATTCTGCTGGAAGCCACAGACATAACTCTACTGGAAGCCACAGACATAACTCTACTGGAAACCACAGACATAACTCTACTGGAAGCCACAGACAATTCTGCTGGAAGCCACAGGCATAACTCTACTGGAAACCACAGACGTAACTCTGCTGGAAGCCACAGATATAATTCTGCTGGAAGCCACAGACATAACTCTACTGGAAGCCACAGACATAACTCTACTGGAAGCCACAGACATAACTCTACTGGAAGCCACAGACATAACTCTACTGGAAGCCACAGACATAACTCTACTGGAAACCACAGACATAACACTTCTAGCCAGGAAGGGCAGTTAACACAGAGCACAAAGAAAGCTCATTGTATGCAGAGGAGTGTTATGATACAAAAAAATAAGAAGAAACAGACATAGAAAGAAAACAGAAAAGGGAGGATGACAGAGAACTGGTAACGAAGCTGAGGAACCAGGAACAACTACGCTATAAAGACAGAGAATCACAAGACTGAGATGACAGCGAACAACTTAGAAACAAAATTCAAAGAAAAAACTGGGTGCTGGGTTCAAAGTAAGAGAGGGAGACGTGCAAAGTAATGCCAGGAACATTCAAAGAACTTCTTAGAGAGGAATAAAGAGGAGAGCAACATCGGGGAGGGGGGGATAAAGTAAGCAGGAGAGAATAGAGCAAAGGAGGTCGTCATACCTAAAGGGGCATTCGGTGGGCATCACCCCGGGCACTACATGGAACAGAGGAACTTTGCGACCCATTAGCGAGGATAAACTAGGTAATAATAGGTACAAGAATACAAGTGCAACTAATGTGACATTATTATTGCGGCAACGTTTCACTCTCCAGGAGCTTCGTCAAGCTCTTGGAGAGCGAAACGTTGCCACAATAAAATGTCACATTAGTTGCACTTGTGTCATTTAACGTATCGTGGCTAATTCTACCAACATTATAGATAATAACAGAAGCGGGAATAATTCTATTGCTATACTTAAATGGGCGGTAAACAGGAGACACTAAACTGTAGACGAGTTTCCCTGGTTAATCTACTTGCAAGAGTAATAAATAATAAAAATATAATAAGAAGGAGAACAGTTAAGGGCGTAAAAAGTACCGGAGAGGAATTGATTCTAAGACAGATCCATCTCGCCTCAGGAGACCCAAGTTTTACGACGGTGAGACAGATGAAAGAAAACAGAAGACAGTGAAATGATTTTAGACTCTGTCATTATTATTATGTTGTTGATGATGATTATCACACAGGTATAGTTAAAAATGATTATATTTCGTCTACTGAACTACTCACCTTGCCATGGTACAGGAATTTGACCCCTACTGCTCTCTTCTCTCCGTTCATGATCACCTGTCAACATTAATAATTATTAGTAAGAGTATAACATTGCAAATATTATAATTACCGTCATATATATATATCACAGTAAACAGTTGATATCACAGTATGCAGAATTACCACTGTGAAAACATAGTAGAAGTCCAAGCGCTTTCGTTATTTCAAGCACTTTCTTGATAATGTGAGAAATCACGAAAGCGCTAGAATTCAGTTTTTTTCGTGATATCACCAGTTTACTGTGATCTTATTTGCATATATATATATATATATATATATATATATATATATATATATATATATATATATAATATATATATATATATATATATATATATATATATATATTTTATTTTTATTATCACACTGGCCGATTCCCACCAAGGCAGGGTGGCCCGAAAAAGAAAAACTTTCGCCATCATTCACTCCATCACTGTCTTGCCAGAAGGGTGCTTTACACTACAGTTTTTAAACTGCAACATTAACACCCCTCCTTCAGAGTGCAGGCACTGTACTTCCCATCTCCAGGACTCAAGTCCGGCCTGCCGGTTTCCCTGAATCCCTTCATAAATGTTACTTTGCTCACACTCCAACAGCACGTCAAGTATTAAAAACCATTTGTCTCCATTCACTCCTATCAAACACGCTCATGCATACCTGCTGGAAGTCCAAGCCCCTCGCACACAAAACCTCCTTTACCCCCTCTCTCCAACCTTTCCTAGGCCGACCCCTACCCCGCCTTCCTTCCACTACAGACTGATACACTCTTGAAGTCATTCTGTTTCGCTCCATTCTCTCTACATGTCCGAACCACCTCAACAACCCTTCCTCAGCCCTCTGGACAACAGTTTTGGTAATCCCGCACCTCCTCCTAACTTCCATACTACGAATTCTCTGCATTATATTCACACCACACATTGCCCTCAGACATGACATCTCCACTGCCTCCAGCCTTCTCGCTGCAACATTCATCACCCATGCTTCACACCCATATAAGAGCGTTGGTAAAACTATACTCTCATACATTCCCCTCTTTGCCTCCAAGGACAAAGTTCTTTGTCTCCACAGACTCCTAAGTGCACCACTCACTCTTTTTCCCTCATCAATTCTATGATTCACCTCATCGTTCATAGACCCATCCGCTGACACGTCCACTCCCAAATATCTGAATACATTCACCTCCTCCATACTCTCTCCCTCCAATCTGATATTCAATCTTTCATCACCTAATCTTTTTGTTATCCTCATAACCTTACTCTTTCCTGTATTCACCTTTAATTTTCTTCTTTTGCACACCCTACCAAATTCATCCACCAATCTCTGCAACTTCTCTTCAGAATCTCCCAAGAGCACAGTGTCATCAGCAAAGAGCAGCTGTGACAACTCCCACTTTGTGTGTGATTCTTTATCTTTTAACTCCACGCCTCTTGCCAAGACCCTCGCATTTACTTCTCTTCACAACCCCATCTATAAATATATTAAACAACCACGGTGACATCACACATCCTTGTCTAAGGCCTACTTTTACTGGGAAATAATTTCCCTCTTTCCTACATACTCTAACTTGAGCCTCACTATCTTCGTAAAAACTCTTCACTGCTTTCAGTAACCTACCTCCTACACCATACACTTGCAACATCTGCCACATTGACCCCCTATCCACCCTGTCATACGCCTTTTCCAAATCCATAAATGCCACAAAGACCTCTTTAGCCTTATCTAAATACTGTTCACTTATATGTTTCACTGTAAACACCTGGTCCACACACCCCCTACCTTTCCTAAAGCCTCCTTGTTCATCTGCTGTCCTATTCTCCGTCTTACTCTTAATTCTTTCAATAATAACTCTACCATACACTTTACCAGGTATACTCAGCAGACTTATCCCCCTATAATTTTTTGCACTCTCTTTTATCCCCTTTGCCTTTATACAAAGGAACTATGCATGCTCTCTGCCAATCCCTAGGTACCTTACCCTCTTCCATACATTTATTAAATAATTGCAGCAACCACTCCAAAACTATATCCCCACCTGCTTTTAACATTTCTATCTTTATCCCATCAATCCCCGGGTGCCTTACCCCCTTTCATTTTACCCACTGCCTCACGAATTTCCCCCACACTCACAACTGGCTCTTCCTCACTCCTACAAGATGCTATTCCTCCTTGTCCTATACACGAAATCACGCTTCCCTATCTTCATCAACATTTAACAGTTCCTCAAAATATTCCCTCCATCTTCCCAATACCTCTAACTCTCCATTTAATAACTCTCCTCTCCTATTTTTAACTGACAAATCCATTTGTTCTCTAGGCTTTCTTAACTTGTTAATCTCACTCCAAAACTTTTTCTTATTTTCAACAAAATTTGTTGATAACATCTCACCCACTCTCTCATTTGCTCTCTTTTTACATTGCTTCACCACTCTCTTAACCTCTCTCTTTATCTCCATATACTCTTCCCTCCTTATATATATATATACTCATATACTCTTCCCTCCTTATATATATATATATATATATATATATATATATATATATATATATATATATATATATATATATATATATATATATATATATGTTAAATATGGAAGGTCAGCAGGTCAGGAGGACGAATAAGTACTAGTAAATGACCTTGAGGAGATAAAAGTGTAAAAAGGAAGGAGAGAAGAGAAGAGCACAAGACACAGAGCTCTCATGAAATACAAATATGAGGAGATAATTGCATCTATGTGGATAGTAAAGCTGGTTCTTAAGACTCCTGGAAGCTGTAACAACAGCCTCATAACAACGAAAGAGGAATTTTAAGAGAGAACCTTAAAGTCTGTTATTTATTCCAACTTTTTTAGGTGTCCTTCTTTCTTTTATATCCCTCTTTCGTTCTAAGTGGAAATGACAACTTTGACTCAGTCTGTATTACAGAAGATCGGGCAGAGGAGTGACAATCCACCACCAAACAACAGGAGGCCAAGGGAGTCTACCTGAGGTTATTCCGGGAAGGAGTACGGATTAGAATAACAGGAGAATGAGTAACATAATGAAAAGTGAGAAGGCAAAAAGAAATATAGCTAAACTCATAGTACTAGGAGATTCTAACCATAAGATTATTATTATTATTATTATTATTATTATTATTATTATTATTATTATTATTATTATTGTATGAACATGTAGGTGGCCATACAACGCCTGTGTGAATTGGGAGGTAATAAGATTTCATCCAAGGAAGAGAACGATAGCTCAATTTCCTCGGATCAGGAGCCACTGGCCGGCATGACTGCACCTGTAGGGGGCCACGTACCTTCAAAACAGTGGCACCTGTTACCACGTGCAGGTTTATCCTGTTGGTAACGGGAGCCAGGTAGGCCCGGGCGGTGTGCCAGCGTTCTCCGTTCTTGATGGTGTACTCTGTTCTAGAGAACCCTGGAAGAACACCAGAACAGTGAGAGGGGAGAGAGAGAGAGACAACAGACAGATAGCAGAGAGACAGAGAAAACAGAGAGACAACAGAGAGCGAGAGAGAGAAGAGACAGAGAGTGACAGACTCCAAAACATACCCTGTGCCCTTCTTTTTAACGATATTTACATAAGAACAAAATAGCATAAGACAGAAGAAGCACTGCAGGAGGCTTACTGGACCATGTTAGGCAGGTCCAAGTCACCTATTGGCCTAAGCCACTCAGTGACATTTACAGCTTGAGTAGACAGTGTGTTCCAGTGCTCCACAACACAGCATCAAAGTGAATCCGGTATCAAACAAGCCAAACAAATGGCATATAGTACCTAGGACTGTCATAGATCCCAGTGAATGAAGCAATCCCAGCAGTGACTCTGTTGTCATTACAAACTAACGAAAGATAGTTTCTCTTTCAACTTCAGTAGGTAGTGTGTTCCAGTATTACTAGTTCCAGTATTACTTACCTATCTGTTCAGGTCCGCTGGGGTCGATGACGGGGAAGCCCAGGTGTTGACCAGCCTTCAGGAAGACACTTGTCACACCATGGTTGCCTGGATCAGGTGTGACAGGTAAGGGACCCTCCCGTCCATGGTAGTTCTCTGAAACATGGAACAGATACCTGGTTCACCTAGCGCTGTACAGATAGGTCAATGCACTGTTTTGGCAAGTATCCTAAGCTGGACTAGAAAACGTGATAGTATAACATTGCACACAACTAGCAAAGTGTGGGGTAGGGTGAAAGAGGAAATAACAACAACAACAACAACAACAACAACAACAACAACAACAACAACAACAACAATAATAATAATAATAATAATAATAATAATAATAATAATAATAATAATAAATCTTTATCTTGACAAGTACATGATGCAACTTACACAGACCATAATTGACATCAATGACATAATATATAGGAAGAAAAAGGGCGAGATATTCCCTTGTACACTCGCTACCTTACTCAAACACTCACAAAACCCACATTAAGCCAACAATAAGCCCACACTGACTCACTACACATACGAAGGATGGGTAAGACTCCTTACATCATGTTACAAGACTGCTGTTACGGTAATACCTAATTTACTAGTCTTGTAAACATACTAGATAAAATGAATATGGCATATAGAAATTAATTATGGGAAAGCAGTAGGTGCTAGCGATCATATGGTAATAATCTGAGTACCTCTTTACCTGTTGAAACATCAGCTACCCAGCTGGAACACCACAATACACAATCACAAAACACGTATCTTCCAGGAGCTGTGACTCGACCTCTGCAACCTCAACTAGATGAGCACACGTAACATCAGGATAAAGCTGACTTACCCGTGTCACCTCTAAGAGTTCCCCTGTAGCTCTCAGCCTTCTTGAAGAAAGGCAGGACCGACTGGTAGTCCCAGCCAGGTAGTCCCATCGAGGCCCAGTAGTCGTAGTCTCGCCTATTGCCCCTGACGTACAGCATCCCGTTGATGGTTGACGACCCTCCCAGTACTCTACCCTGAGGTACTGGACTACTCTGTGCGATAATACTCTTATTATATTATTATTATTATTATTATTATTATTATTATTATTATTATTATACCACAGCAACGACAAAAAACAACAACTACTGCTACTACTATTACTACTAGTATTTCTGCTGTTACTACAAATACTACCATTACTATTAATACTAATATTGAAAATGCTTTTGCGCAGTATTTTTTAAGCACAAAGAGGTAGAGTGATCCTGAATACAAGAAAAAATGCATTTATCGTCATTTATCCAGTGACTGTCTTACCAGAAACATTATTAAGACATGACAGTGTTGAGATGACCCTCTGACCTGTCTGTGTATGATCCATACTCTGCCTTGTATGTGTATACTGATCTGTGTGTGGATCAACTGTTGTCTGGATCAACTGTTGTGGCTCAACTGTTGTCTGGATCAACTGATGTCTGGATCAACTGTTATGATCAGTTTGTGTCAACTTGTCTGATCAGTTGGATCATTTGTGTGGATCATCTGTTGCCTGGATCAACTGTTGTGTGGATCAGCTGTTGCCTGGATCAACTGTTGCCTGGATCAACTGTTGCCTGGATCAGTTGTTGTGTGGATCAGTTTCGATCAACTGTTGCCTGGATCAACTGTTGCCTGGATCAAATGTTGTTGGATCAACTGTTGTGGATCACTGTTGTGTGGATCAGCTGTTGCCTGGATCAACTGTTGCCTGGATCAACTGTTGCCTGGATCAGTTGTTGTGTGGATCAGCTGTTGCTTGGATCAACTGTTGCCTGGATCAACTGTTGCCTGGTTCAAATGTTGTATGGATCAACTGTTGTGTGGATCAGCTGTTGCCTGGATCAACTGTTGCCTGGATCAACTGTTGCCTGGTTCAAATGTTGTGTGGATCAACTGTTGTGTGGATCAGCTGTTGCCTGGATCAACTGTTGCCTGGTTGAACTGTTGTATGGATCAGCTGTTGCCTGGATCAACGTCTGTTAACGGACTCTTGCACTTGCAAGAAACAGCGCGCAAAGAAACGTGCGAAGCCAAACACACAACATCTCGCTCTGTTTGGGGCTTGATCACGGCTAGATAGAGCTTCATAAAAGAAAGAATTGCTGCAAGCTCCACACAGAGCAAGTCACGTAACGACAAATGCTACCGCTTCAACCTGTCTATAAGCCTTTTTAGTACTGCACCCAAATACACAGCCTTGGGGGACCCCGCTGGGTACACTTGCCCATTTTCACTCTCCCAAATCACCGTGAGTCTCTGCTTTCCAGCCATCATGAATTCGCTTAACCACCAGTTGTTACCTCTACGTTAGTGTTGCAGTTTTGCTAGCCCACTCAGCTCACACTCTGAGGTCCGGAGATCGATCCCCGGTACGGCTGGAATAAGGACGTGTTTCCATAATACACCTGCTGTTTCTGTTCACCTAACAGAAAATAGGTACCTGGGTGTTAGTCGACTGGTGTGGGTCGCATCCTGGGACAGAACTGACCGTATTTGCCCAAAATACTTTATATAACAAAGGGCTTTCTATATAGTAGTATGTCATTGATGTCAGTTATGGTCTGTATAAGATGGACCATGAACTTGTAGAAATATTGTAAGGTTTCTTTCAGTGAGGCAGTGAATCGACTGTCTACCTTACTTGCACTGTCCAAGTTACGCCCGTCTGACGTAAGGAGGGTCTCGTTTGCGATGTTAGACGTAGGGCTCCGTGTGGTCAGCCTCGTTTAGGCGTTGATTGGTAACTTAATTAAAAGAGTTAGGAGCAAGTTGTCTTGACCAGTGAGGCTGTCAGGCTGGATGCTCTCTGGAGGGTGGGGGGCGTGGCTCTTGATCCAGGGTGGGTTTCCTGTCGTATTCCATCAGGCAGGATGGTTTACCTGTCATATGCCATCGTTTGATGTCTGGGAGGGAGTGTGTGTGTGTAGTAGTGGGTGTTTGGTTGCTGTAGGTGGTTAGGTAGTGGTTGTGGTTCTGGCTTTGCTAGTAGTGGTGGTTCTGGAGGTGGTAGTGGTTGTGGTTCTGGCTTTGCTAGTAGTGGTGGTTCTGGAGGTGGTAGTGGTTGTGGTTACTGCTTTGCAGTATGGTCTGGGTGTTGCAACGATCTGCATCACCGCAAACGCCAGCGTAGCGACTTTCGTTGTCTCCTCCCCCCCGGAAGCTGCGGCGTCAGCATTCACACCTGCATGTGACTATCACATTTCGGTCCACCTGGCCAGTCATTCTCGAGGCCGCAACACCTCCTTGCTGCCCATCACTTCTGACTACAGTGAAAGTCATCACTGCCGCCCCCCGCGTATTGCATAACCTGATTGCCACCTCAGCTGGGAAGATAACTCAGTAGGGCTCCGGGCTGAGACAATTCGAAGCTAAGGACATACATTTACATGGAGAGTTATAGCAGTTTCCGCTTGTTAGATTGTAGCTCCTGGATCCCTTCCCTCACGTAGCTTTCGTGCCTCGTGTGGGGTAATTTGCTGTGGTAGATGTGTGTGTGTACTCACCTATTTGTACTCACCTATTTGCGGTTGCAGGGGTCGAGTCACAGCTCCTGGCCCCGCCTCTTCGCTGATTGCTACTAGGTCCTCTCTCTCCCTGCCCCATGAGCTCTATCATACCTCGCCTTAAAACTATGTATGGTTCCTGCCTCCACCACATTACTTTCTAGGCTATTCCATGGCCTGACTACTCTATGACTGAAGAAATACTTCCTAACATCCCTTTGATTCATCTGAGTCTTCAACTTCCAATTGTGACCTCTTGTGTCTGTGTCCCATCTCTGGAACATCCCGTCTTTGTCCACCTCGTCTATTCCGCGCAGTATTTTATATGTCGTTATCATGTCTCCCCTGACCCTCCTGGCCTCCAGTGTCGTCAGGCCGATTTCCCTCAACCTTTCTTCATAGGACAATCCCCGTAGCTCTGGGACTAGTCTTGTTGCAAACCTTTGCACTTTCTCTAATTTCTTGACGTGCTTGACTAGGTGTGGATTCCAAACTGGTGCTGCATACTCCAGTATGGGCCTGACGTAGATGGTATACAGTGTCTTAAACGAATCCTTACTGAGGTATCGGAACGCTATCCGTAGGTTTGCCAGGCGCCCGTATGCTGCAACAGTTATCTGATTGATGTGCGCCTCAGGAGATATGCTCGGTGTTATACTCACCCCCAGATCTTTTTCCTTGAGTGAGGTTTGCAGTCTTTGGCCATCTAAACTATATTGTGTCTGCGGTCTTCTTTGCCCTTCCCCAATCTTCATGACTTTGCATTTGGCAGGGTTAAATTCAAGGAGCCAGTTGCTGGACCAGGCTTGTAGCCTGTCCAGGTCTCTTTGTAGTCCTGCCTGATCCTCGTCCGATTTGATTCTTCTCATTAACTTCACATCATCTGCAAACAAGGACACTTCTGAGTCTATCCCTTCCGTTATGTCGTTCACGTATACCAAGAACAGCACAGGTCCTAGGACTGACCCCTGTGGAACCCCGCTTGTCACAGGCGCCCACTCTGACACCTCGTCGCGTACCATGACTCGTTGTTGCCTCCCTGTCAGATATTCTCTGATCCATTGCAGTGCCTTTCCTGTTATGTGTGCCTGGTCCTCTAGCTTTTGCAGTAACCTCTTGTGAGGAACTGTGTCGAAGGCCTTCTTGCAGTCCAAAAATATGCAGTCGATCCACCCCTCTCTCTCTTGTCTTACTTCTGTCACCTTGTCATAAAACTCTAGTAGGTTTGTGACACAGGATTTTCCTTCCCTGAAACCGTGCTGGTTGTCAATTATACACTTGTTTCTTTCCAGGTGCCCCACCACTCTCCTCCTGATGATCTTCTCCATGACCTTGCATACTATACACGTTAGTGATACAGGTCTGTAGTTTAGTGCCTCATGTCTGTCTCCCTTTTTAAAAATTGGGACTACATTGTGTGTGTGTGTGTGTGTGTGTGTGTGTGTGGTGGTGTGTGTGTGTGTGTGTGTGTGTGTGTGTGTTGTGTGTGGTTTGTGTGCGTGTGTCTTGTGTGTGGTGTGTGTATGTGTGTGGTGTTGTGTGTGTGTGTGGTTGTGTGTGTGTGTGTGTGGTGTTGTGTGTGTGTGCTGTGTGTGGGTGTGTGTACTCACCTAGTTGAGGTTGCGGGGGTCGAGTCCCGAGCTCCTGGCCCCGCCTCTTCACTGATCGCTACTAGGTCACTCTCCCTGAGCCGTGAGCTTTATCATACCTCTGCTTAAAGCTATGTATGGATCCTGCCTCCACTACATCGCTTCCTAAACTATTCCACTTACTGACTACTCTGTGGCTGAAAAAAATACTTCCTAACATCCCTGTGATTCATCTGTGTCTTCAGCTTCCAACTGTGTCCCCTGTTACTGTGTCCAATCTCTGGAACATCCTGTCTTTGTCCACCTTGTCAATTCCTCTCAGTATTTTGTATGTCGTTATCATGTCCCCCCTATCTCTCCTGTCCTCCAGTGTCGTCAGGTTGATTTCCCTTAACCTCTCCTCGTAGGACATACCTCTTAGCTCTGGGACTAGTCTTGTTGCAAACCTTTGCACTTTCTCTAGTTTCTTCACGTGCTTGGCTAGGTGTGGGTTCCAAACTGGTGCCGCATACTCCAATATGGGCCTAACGTACACGGTGTACATGGTCCTGAATGTGTGTGTGTGTGTGTGTGTGTGTGTGTGTGTGTGTGTGTTTTCGGCTCTGATAATGGCGCGAGTTGAGGCGAAACAACGTCGTAAATTTCACTTAGCTAACAAGGTGCCAAAGGTGCCGCTTACTAAAGGAGCCATGGGTGTCACTAAAGGTGCCCAAGGGTGTCACTAAAGGTGCCATGGGTGTCACTAAAGGTGCCCAAGGGTGTCACTAAAGGTGCCAAGAGTGCTACTAAAGGTGCCAAGGGCGCTACTTACCCTGTTAGTATAGCTCCTCAGAGCATAGCGCTGAGGGTGGAGGCGGAAGTTCCAGTTGCTTTCGCTGGGGAAGTAGAAAACCCTGCTGAGTCCTGGCACTAGACTCTCCGGGGGCGGCGCCCCCCCGGCCTCCAGCAGCAGCACCCTCCACGACGCTACCTCCGACAGCCTGGAGGCCAGCACGCAACCTGCTGTACCTCCACCCACTGTACCACCCACATCACCCACCCAGGGTGCAGGAGGGGTGGGGAAGGGAAAGAGGGAGGGAGCAAGGGAGGGAAGGAGGGAGGGAAGAAGGGAGTGAGAGGGAAGGAATGAGGGTGAGAGAGTGAGAGGGAGGGAATGAGAGGAAGGGAGTGAGAAGAAGGGAGTCAGAGGGAGGGAATTAGAGGAAGGGAGTGAGAAAAAGGGAGTCAGAGGGAGGGAATGAGAGGAAAGGAGTGAGAAGAAGGGAGTCAGAGGGAGGGAATGAGAGGAACGGAGTGAGAAGAAGGGAGTGAGAAAAGGGAGTGAGAGGGAGGAAGTAAGAAAAGGGAATGAGAGGGAGGGAGGGAGAGAGAGTGAGAGGGAGGGAGTGAGAGGGAGGGAGGGAGAGAGAGTGAGAGGGAGGGAATGAGAGGGAGGGAGGGAGAAAGAGTGAGAGGGAGGGAGTGAGAGGGAGGGAGGGAGAGAGAGTGAGAGGGAGTCAATGAGAGGTAGGGAGTGAGAGGGAGAGAGTGAGAGGGAGGGAATGAGAGGGAGGGAATGAGAGGAGTGAGAGGGAGGGAATGAAAGGAGTGAGAGGGAGGGAATGAGAGGAAGGGAGTCAGAAGAAGGGAGTGAGAGGGAGGAAGTGAGAAAAGGGAATGGGAGGGAGAGAGTAGTGAGAGGGAGATATAGGGGAGATAGGGAGAGATAAAGGAAAAAATGTATATTAATTGATATTAAGGGAGAGGTCAGAGGTCAGACATAGTTCAGAGGTCAGGGTTCAAAGATCATAGCTACGAGGTCAGAGGTTTGATTTCAGAGGTCATACTTCTGAGGTTAGAGGTCAGGGCTGAGAAGTCAAGCTTTAGAGGTCAGGGCTCAGGGGTCAAGCTTCAGAGGTCAAGCTTCAGAGGTCAGAACTCAGAGGTCATGGTACAGAGGTCAATGCTCAGAGGTCAAGCTTCAGAGGTCAAGGTTCAGAAGTCAGGGTTTAGAGGTCAGGGTTTAGAGATGAGGGTACAGAGGTCCGGGTACAGAGGTCAGGGCTCAGAGGCCAAGTTTCAGAGGTCAAGGTTCAGAAGTCAGAGTTCAGAGGTCAGGGTTCAGAGGTCAGGGTACAGAGGTCAGGGCTCAGAGGTCAGGGTACTGAGGTCAGGGTACTGAGGTCAGGGTACAGAGGTCAGGGTTCAGAGGTCAGGGTTCAGAGGTCAGGGCTCAGAGGTCAGGGCTCAGAGGTCAGGGTTCAGAGGTCAGGGTCCATAAATTAAGCATATAAATTAAATACACAGTATACAAATCATCATACAAATCAAGAAACTAATACAAATCAGTTTACAAAAAAATACAAAACATGATAACTTTAACATATAAATTTTAAAGAGTTTATATACATGTGAATGTTTATAAATGTCAAGAATATATACACTGAGAGGTGTCTCACTCAGTATATATATATATATATATTATATATATATATATATATATATAATATATATATATATATATATAATATATATATATATATATATAATATTATACATATACACACACAACAAACATTGTCTCTAATTTCGCCTGTTTGCGAATTGTTAAGTATATATATAACAGTGATTCCCTCGCCTGACCCTTATTTTTTCTGTGAACTCTGACCTTTTTCTCTCCCTTGTGACCTTACCGATGATGAAGTCGTACTCAGGAAGGAGGACGGGCGGTGGGAGGTATTCTCCCTGGTATGCTCCACGGAGTACAGCTATCAGGAGTACTCGAAGTAGCGGCAGCATCGTAGGCAGCAGCAGACGTACTGGAGATGACTCACTCATCTGTGGAGGTGAGAGAGGTGGTTGTGTATGTGTGAGAGAGAGAGAGAGAGAGAGAGAGAGAGAGAGAGAGAGAGAGAGAACACAGACGACTCTTGATCAACGACATTGTTTCACACGGGAGGTCTGCTTGGTCCTCATCACAGAATCTCATGTCTGTGTTGATGACTGTACTGCCAGCTGCTCTAAGTGGTAATAATCACCAGCTGCTCTAAGTGACATCAGTTCCCAGTTGCTCTAAGTGACACCAATCACTAGCTGCTCTAAGCAACATCAGTCACCATCTTACAGTACCAACAATACCACCAGTCCGATAACATTCTTCTTTGCAAATATACAGGGTCTAAAGCCAGCAACAAACAACAAAATACCTTTCATCCGTGGACTGCTTGCAGAGGCAAAGGCAATGTTCGCGGCTTTCACTGAGACCCACATAAAGGATCACTTGGACAACGAAATATGGATCCCAGGTTACAACCTATACAGATGTGACAGAGTGAACAGGCAAAAGGGGGGGGTTGGCCTGTACATTGCAGGTCACTTGTTTGCACAGAACTGCTTAATCCCTCAAATGACGTAGTGGAAGTTTTAGCAGTAAAGGTCGAAAACCCAAAAACCTAGTCATTGTGGTAGTCTACAAGCCTCCGGATGCAACTTCCCAGCAATTCCAGGAACAGCTGTTAAAATTGACCACTGTCTGGAAAATCTTCCAGCCCCCTGCACCCAACATCTTGCTCCTGGGGATTTCAACTTAAGGCACCAAAAATTTGGAGGAATATAGCAAATAATATTGTTGCAGAAATAACCCAGGAGGCAGCTCTGATGAAAACTCACACTCACACGAGCTTTTAAATCTCTGCACAAAATTCAATTTAAACCACAAATAATAGAGCCTACTAACTGGAGAATACACTAGACCTCATATTCACAAAACAATGAATCTGATAAGAAAATGTCACCATATCAAAAACAATATACTCAGATCACAACATAATTGAGTTCAGACATGTATGCGTGGAGCCCCAGACCGACAAAATGAGACTAGTCACGGGGGAGCATTCACCAAATTCAACTTCAATAACAAAAACATAAAGTGGGACCAAGTAAACCAAGTCCTAACCGATATAAGCTGGGAAGATATATAAGCAACACAGACCCAAACTTATGCCTAAACGAGATTAACTCGGTGGGACTCGATGTATGCACAAGGCTTATTCCTCTAAAAAAGGAGGAGTAGATGTAAAATAGAAAGAAAACAGGCGCTCCCTTTACAGGCGACGGAAAAGAATAACAGAGCGGCTAAAAGAGGGCAATATATCTGAAATGCGCGGGAGACACTGGTCAAGAAAAAGCAAGCATCGAACTTAAGCTAAAAGAATCCTTAGGAGTCAGGAATCGCGGAAGAACTAAAAGCCATAAATGAAATCGAAAGAAACCCAAAGTATTTCTTCTCCCATGGGCCCAAAACAAAATCGAGAACAACGTCCAGTATTGGGCCCCTACTTAAACAAGATGGGTCCTACACAGATGACAGCAAGGAAATGAGTGAGCTACTCAAGTCCCAATATGACTCAGTTTTTAGCAAGCCGCTAACCAGACTGAGAGTCGAAGATCAAAATGAATTTTTATGAGAGAGCCACAAAATTTTATTAACACAAGCCTATCCGATGTTATTCCTGACGCCAAATGCTTCGAACAGGCGATAAATGACATGCCCATGCACTCTGCCCCAGGGCAACTCATGGAACTCTGTGTTCATCAAGAACTGCAAGAAGCCCCTATCACGAGCCTTTTCCATCCTATGGAGAGGGGGCATGGACACGGGGTCGTCCCACATTACTAAAAACAACAGACATAGCCCCCACTCCACAAAGGGGGCAGTAAAGCAACAGCAAAGAACTACAGACCAATAGCACTAACATCCCATATCATAAAAATCTTTGAAAGGGTCCTAAGAAGCAAGATCACCACGCATCTAGAAACCCATCAGTTACACAACCCAGGGCAACATGGGTTTAGAACAGGTCGCCCTGTCTGTCTCAACTATTGGACCACTACGACAAGGTCCTAAATGCACAGAAGACAAAAAGAATGCAGATGTAATATATACAGACTTTGCAAAAGCCTTCGAAAGTGTGACCATGGCGTAATAGCGCACAAAATGCGTGCTAAAGGAATAACAGGAAAAGTCGGTCGATGGATCTATAATTTCCCTCACTAACAGAACACAGAGAGTAGTCGTCAACAGAGTAAAGTCCGGGGCAGCTACGGTGAAAAGCCTTTCCACAAGGCACAGTACTCGCTCCCATCTTGTTCCTCATCCTATATCCGACATAGACAGGATGTCAGCCACACACCGTGTCTTCCTTTGCAGATGACACCCGAATCTGGCATGACAGTGCCCTTCCATTGCAGACACTGCAAAGCTCCAGGCAGACATCAACCAAATCTTTCAGTGGGCCAGAAAACAATATGAAGTTCAACGATGAGAAATTTCAATTACTCAGATATGGTAAACATGAGAAATTAAATCGTCTTCAGAGTACAAAACAAATTCTGGCCACAAAATAGAGCGAAACACCAACGCAAAGACCTGGGAGTGATCATGTCGGAGGATCTCACCTTCAAGGACCATAACATTGTATCAATCCCCATCTGCTAGAAAAATGACAGGATGGATAATGAAAACCCTTCAAACTGGGGAGGCCAAGCCCATGATGACACTCTTCAGGTCACTTGTTCTATCTGGGCTGGAATATTGCTGCACACTAACAGCACCTTTCAAGGCGGGTAAAAATTGCCGACCTAGAAAATGTACAGAGAACTTTCCCCGGCACGCATAACGGAGATAAAACACCTCAATTATTGGAGCGCTTGAGGTCCTAAACCTGTATTCCCGGGAACGCAGGAGGGAGAGATAATGATTATAAAAACACCTGGAAAATCCTAGAGGGACAAATACCGAACTTGCACACGAAAATCACTCATTACGAAAGCAAAAGACTTGGCAGACGATGCACCATCCCCCCAATGAAAAGCAGGGGTGTCACTAGCACGTTAAGAGACCATACAATAATTTTCAGGGGCCCGAGACTGTTCAACTGCCTCCCAGCACACATAAGGGGGATTACCAACAGACCCCTGGCAGTCTTCAAGCTGGCACTGGACAAGCACCTAAAGTCAGTTCCGGATCAGCCGGGCTGTAGCTCGTATGTTGGTTTGCGTGCAGCCAGCAGCAACAGCCTGGTTGATCAGGCTGTGATCCACCAGGGGGCCTGGTCTCAGACCGGGCCGCGGGGGCGTTGACCCCCGGAACTCTCTCCAGGTAAACTCCAGGTATATCAGCCTGGGAAAAACAGTATTAGTTTACATTTGCTTCTGAGAAAACACATGAAGATGGTCTTAAGTCAGCATGATATTAATTCTGGAGCAGTGGTAAGAATGAATGGAAGACTGTGTTAGGAACCCAGGGGCGAGGTGGATATCCCAGGAGTGAAATATGACTCAACAATGTCCATGAAGAACCACGAGGTAAATCTTGCAAGCAAGGCAGCCAAGAAGCTAACAGCATTAAGACGTATCTCATACCTACTCTTGGTTCGGTTAGTAGCATACTTAATTCACAAGCTGATTGTCCGTTGTTCGATCCCCAGCACGGGAGGAAATGTTGGGCATGTTTCCTTAAGACACCTGCTGTCATAGTTCACCTAGCAGTAAGTAGGTATCTGGGTGTTAGTAAGCTACAGCCTACAGCTTACTGTAGCAGAATAACAGGACAACACCTCTTAGTCTGTAAAATTGACTTATGTAAAAAAAAAAGTGTGCTCACACCTTGAGTATGCTCCACTGTCTTGGATTGCCTACTTCCCCCCTCCCCCCGTCTCATCTACGGCTTCCGTACAGAATAGAAAACAGAGCAAGATAACTCATCTCTCGCCTGGACCCAGCCTGGATAGATGAACAGAGCCTTCAACACAGGAGGGATGTGGGTGGCCTTTCTGTCACGTACAAGGCCAATGTTGTCAAGGTGCCACACTTGACTCCACTTTGAGGACAGTGAGAAGACAGCTTCTACAACACAAGACGGGCAGTAAACAGCAACTACACTCTGGCTGTAACCTTCTCCAGAACATCACTTTATCTGAGGTCAGTTATCCATAGAATGACTCGACCTGGCCCATGGCTGGCCCACAGCTGGCCCATAGCTGGTCCACAGCTGGTCCTTAGCTGGTCCACAGCTGGCCCATAGCTGGTCCACAGCTGGTCTTTAGCTGGTCCACAGCTGGCCCACAGCTGGCCCACAGCTGGCCCACAGCTGGCCCACAGCTGGCCCACAGCTGGCCCACAGCTGGCCCACAGCTGGCCCACAGCTGGCCCACAGCTGGCCTACAGCTGTGTGTAAAAACCTCATCTTAAAACCTTGACTGTAAAAAACAAACCAAAAAAGGGAAGTTGTTTTTTTCTGTGTAAACCAACGGATTAAAAAACGCAAAAAATGGGCGAAACGTAGAGGGAAAAACAACAAAAATAAAAGACAAAAACCACATGACATAAAAAAAAAAAATCTGGAAATGGAAGCCAAAATCTGAACAATAAAACACCAAAGAAAAACATAAAAGCAAATTTTAAAAGAATAAATTCTTTAAAAAAATAAATTTCCATTGTTACCAACGTGGCGAGGGAAAAAACCGAGGGCGTGGAACATTCTCAAGTTGGCAACACTTGCAAGGAATTTTTTTTTTTGCTGATTGGCAACACTTGCAAAACCGGTTTTGAGAGAGTTTAAGGTCAAGTGTAATGACTCATATTACTCTCTCTCTCTCTCTCTCTCTCTCTCTCTCTTCTCTCTCTCTCTCTCTCTCTGTCTGTCTGTCTTCTCTCCTCTCTCTCTCTCTCTCTCTCTCTCTCTCTCTCTCTCTCTCTCTCTCTCTCTCTCCTCTCTCTCTCTCTCTCTCTCTCTCTCTCCTCTCTCTCTCTCTCTCTCTCTCTCTCTCTCTCTGTCTCT